TATATTAAATATAATTGTAATTTGACAGCCTCTGAGAAATAAATTAGATACCGAAGAAGCAGATTTATAATTAAAATTAAAGAAAGGTATCTTCGATAATTTGCTGATTGAAAAACCAGACATTTCACATTCTACTCGTTGATTTGATAAAATAAAGCAGCAAGATAAATGATATTTGTCGTTCTTTGATGAGTTAGGATAGTATTAAAGGCAACACTTTTTTTATTATCCGATAATAAACGAAGAATAGACAGTTAAAAATAATGAAATGAAGAAAACACAAGGTTCACTATTTGTGAGGTCACGCTGAAGCTTCGAATTTACAACTGAAGCGATGCAATAATACGTCTCCATAAACAAGGATTTGCATCGCAATACAATCGTTTCATCCACGACAAATTCCAGAGAACTTACTGCAGCTGAAATTTATTCGACAACGTTACAAATACAAAACGTCATACTGACTCCGGTTTACTTTTTAGATTATAAATTCCATAGCTATTGTAGATTTTAACGAGAAAAAGTACAGTCTCGTTTCAGCTGTCAAATCTTTTTGATGTGAAATTCTACGACCCTTTTGAAACAACATATTCCAAAATAATTTTTACGCACGTTGCTGGTTATGCTTGAAAAGCGTCTCCTTTCTATTATATCGTTAACAAAATAGGTTCACTGTTAAATTTTCCAAAAGTCAAAAAATCAATGAAAAGCGGATCAATTCGACGACTGAGGGGTTCAATTGAAACCCAACGTAAATTTTATAACGACCAGAATCTACATTCATCAAATTGAAACTACGATCTCTACCACTCGTTATTTCGCTTTAGAGTAAAAAGTTAATAAAACAAAACCAAATAAAGAAGAGAGCAGAAATGAAATACACACCGATCGGATATTTATTTCAGCCAACGAAACGGACTAATAAACGAAAGCTCTGGTTTTTTTCGCGAGGGGTGCGTGTCCTTTGGATATACGGCATCTGCTTAATTGCGAGCAAGAACCGACCGGTAGGGCAATTAACGGTCCGGGGACAGCCGCGATCACGACAATATAAAATCCCATCAGATGGGCTCGATACGGTGCGATAAACATGGAGAATGTTAATTCCGGCATGTCGGGCACGAAATTAAATTCCATTCGATTTTACAGTCTTTTCCATTCGATCAGATTCCACCGTTCTCCCATGTTTGTCGATGTTACGTAAATTCTGGCTTCTTTCGTTCGTCACTCTGTCCCTTGTATTTTTCCTTCCCGTCCATCCACCCACTCACTCGTATTAGCTTGTTCACGTTGCAGTGTTTGTTTGTCGTTTAAGTTTGTTGATTACTCTGCCGATGTGTTCGGTCTTCTCCTCGTCCCAACTGGAATTTCACGACCAGAACGAATTCCTGATTACGAAGTTGAACTCCAGTTGTCTGTTAATGTTAAATTCCAATTCACTCGTGAACGACGCTTTTGCGTTTCCTTTTTGTTTTTGTTTTTTTTTTTTTTATTATCCGTTTTATCTAAAGAGCAGCAAGGAGATCTGGAAGTGGAACTGCAGGAGATTAAAAAGTTGCAGGTTTCATGGAAATCTAGTTAGTAATTAATGGCTTTGTTGGTAAATTACTTATTTTAATAGCTTTTTTCTACTGTGTGTTTAAAATCCCATAAACGTTTTAAGGTAATTAGTGACCACGATAAGAGTCTTTGGCGAGATAGAACGTATCTATGATAGGTTGTGTAAACAACTATCTGTCAGAAAATCGTTTGCCGAAGTCTTCTTTCTGTGGCATTGATTAGTTGAGCAGATTAAAGTTAAATCATGCCTTTTAATATTGCATTTAGATAATATTACATTCGGGTGATTAAGATATGTTCGATAGAGCATAGTATGCCGCAAGTGTCGCACACATTGTCTTTCACCTTGTACTAGTTTTTATGTCTTTATATATTTTTAATATAACGTAGTATCATATAATATAGTATTTGCATATTTTTAATATAATGCCAGCATATTAGTATTATTATACACAACCATTCTACAACCATTAATTTAATACTAACTCCGAACCTTTCTCTATTCTGTGATATTAAATATACAGGGTGGTTGGTAACTGGTGGTACAAGCAGAAAGGGGGTGATTCTACGCGAAAAAAGAAGTCGAAAATATAGAATAAAAATTTTTCGTTTGAAGCTTTGTTTTCGAGAAAATCGACTTTGAATTTTCGCTCGGTACGCGTGCGGTACATTATAACGAAAAATTAAAAAAAAAATTTTTTTTTAAATTTTATTCTATATTTTCGACTTCTTTTTTCGCGTAGAATCACCCCCTTTCTGCTTGTACCACCAGTTACCAACCACCCTGTATATTTAATATCACAGAATAGAGAAAGGTTCGGAGTTAGTATTAAATTAATGGTTTACAATTTCGTAACTGTTGAGAAATAAATTAAATTTTAACAGCTTTCGTCTGACAGTATTGAATTTCCTCCTATTTTCTATTTGAGCTGTTGGTCGCTAAGTGTTCAATGAGAATAAAAACTTAGTTGTTAATGAGCCATGGGAAACAATGGTCGCTGTATAACTAATTATCAAAGTTTGCTCTAGGTTCCTCTAAATGTGGGACAAAAACTGCACGTACATGAAAAGTAGATGATAACCTGGTATCCTGTATCTCATCTGCGAGTGTAACTATGCAGGTAATCGAGCGGCAACTAGGAAAATAGAATTGGAAAAAGGGAAAATAAACGGATGGTGTGAAAGAAACAAAGGACTATCAATTATACCGAGTGTGTTTCATGCTGTGGGGAATTTCATTTTTGAGGTCGTGGCAGGCTGGATTTTAATTGGAATAACGCCGCTCGCTCGGCAGTAATTCATATTAATTCCTGGACCTTAATAACCAGAGGTCCGTTGGTCGGCCTGCCGAACTGATGATATTGGATTACACCATTGATTCGTCATTAATATCGATCACCCTTGTTCCGCACGCGACACGCTTAATGAGTATTCACTAGAAGCGTCCGTTGTTCCACGATCACGTAATTAAACACAGATCTACATAATGCTATAGAAATGCTCGGAAATGCTTGTTTTACTAGGAGAACGCGGGATAGAAAAACGGCTAACCATTTGCACAGTATACCCGATGTTCTTTTCCAAATATCATTTGTTTTGGCGGTTCGTTAAACCCTCGAATCTCTAAATTATGAGAAAATGCGCTTTTTAGACAGGTGTGAGATTGATTCAATCCGAAGCTTGGAATTATTGTTAATTGCGATTTTGACTCTGGAAATGTTGTACGATCTGACTTGATGATTTACGCTGTATTTTATAAATGTTATAATCGATGCTTTAAAAAGTCCAAAATGTTGGCAAAATATGGAATATTATAAACCAGCGACGACTAGAACGTGACTCGGATGAGACAAATTAAGGTACAAGGAATAAGACGAAGTTTTATAACGCAGTAAATAATACAAGCTTTTATTCGTGTATTTTAGGAACTTCTAAAAAGCCACCCTCGTAAATCTATAAAATCTCTATGAAAAGCTACAAGAATTGGTTATCTTGGCCACTCTGGTAATTCTACTGTTAAATTAATAACTGAATGAATATAAAGTTACCAAATTCATTTTGTACGTTGTTACCTGACCAAACATTCGACAGGAAATTCCGCGAAACCAAACACTCCGACTTCCGTCGTTTCATAAAAACATCCATCATCAGAAAAATCAACGTGGAGTGGTCCACGAAGGTGTAACTAGAGAGAGTGGAAGCACGTGCAGATAGCTAAAGTGTTAGCCGAAAGTAACGGGAAGGGGTTGAAACCGCCACGGTCGATCGAGCCGAACGCATGAAAGAAACGACACACCGTCACGACAGATCGTTAACTTTGATAAAACATCGCGAAATGCTCCGTGAGAAGCAATTAAAATCCTAGATGCTAGGAGTGGAGAGATACAATGGCAGCGAGAAGAAAGAAATGGAAAATGCGCGAACCAAAGAGATTTCACGAGGAAACGTAACCAACGTGTGGTAGATATTAGGCATTGCGGTTCGTCGGATTAACGTACGAGGTGCGACGTGTTTTCTGATATGAATAATTGCACGATTAATTACATAAAATAATTCCCTGGATCGTTATCGGTCGGCGTAAAATAGCATTAAACCGGCCCCAATCAATTAGAACGGTATTGTAGCATTGTTAACGGACGCGCCACAACCTCCAGTTTAATATTAATGAATGACGTTACGCTCCTCGAAATTAGCAGACCGCCTCTATCCCCGTATCATAGATACACAGAATAGGTTTCTAACGGATGGCTGGGAAAACTCGGTGTTCGTATGTCGTGGTCTGCTCACTGCGAAATCGTGAGTTTCTACCTGGTTACAGAACACTAAGTAAAGGCGATAGTGTAATGTGTGGTGAAACGTTATCTACGATAGTCTATCGATGGTAATTACGTATTTGCGTATTACTACATCGGTTTTCGAAGGATTGGTATTTCGAAGATGGATAATTTAATGTATGTAAACTCATTCATAAGAATTAGAACACCTGATGGGATCGTATTAAAGGCGATAATTGACCCAAATTAGCAGGCAAACGATTAATTGGTTAGAGTATTGTGTTTATGCGAGATAACGTTTCTATATTAAACAGGCAGGAAAGATTTATGAAAGGTATTTTCATGTCCACACAATTAGGACAATTAGGTGTTGTCTTTCATACTTAAATCTTGTTAAACAAATTTGCAAGTTCGTGAAAAATCTGAATTTTGGTTTATTGCGGAGACGGAAATTCCATGCTAAATAGATTTTTCATATATTTCCTCTCCTTCATATAGATAGCAAATATTAAAAGCTCCAATGCTAAACGATGCAACATCATTTCCCATTTTAAATTCCCAATTATAAGAATTGAATTTTAGATATAAAAATATCGTTTGAGATATACTTAAGGGAGGCGGAAAGTTAAACAGAAATATCATCGAGAGATCGACGTTTTGTTGTAGTCGTTGAGAAGACAACGGCGAGAAGGATCGCAAGTCAGACCCGAGTCACGAAGCTTCCCACCGAGCGTAATTGACTACATGTCGAGGTCAGAGGCGGCGACGTCCCCGGAAAGCGGCCAGGATGAAGAGGAGTCCTTCTTCGACAGGCCACCGCCACCCCCGCCGCCGCCTCCGCCACCGCCTTCGCAACAATCGCAGTCTCAAATCGAACAGGGGCTCGGTGGTTTGGTGAAAGACGACGAAGACAGTGCAAAAGTCGCCGATCTACTTGAATCTGCGGGCGACAGAGAAACATCCGAGGAATTGGTTAGGTGAGCATACCTTTTAGAATACTTTTAACGTTACAACTACGAAAGCTATAAGTTGCTTCTTCTGATATTTCTCTCAAGTATGCTTTCTATACGTGACCACAATATGGATTAGATCAGATTAAAGTTAAGTCACTTAATTTTGGGAAAGTTAGACTTTTTACTGTTCTAATACATGGTATTTGTGAATGGGAAGGGTCAAGTTACTTAATTTTACTTTTACTGTTTTACTGTTTTAAATACATAGTGATCACAAGTGGGAATTGTTGATAAAAATTAAATTACTTCATTTTGAGAAATTTAGGCTCTTAAGGTATTTTAAACACACGATGATTGCCAGTGGGAATTGATAATGAAAATGAAATTATTCAATTTTAAAAGATTTAAACTATTTTACGATTTGAAATAAATGGTGGATGCAAATGGAAATTGATAAAAATTTTATGACGATTTCGTAGGTTTGCCTCGCAGAAGGATGACAGGACGTCGGTGGATGGACAGGTCAGAAGAGCTCGCCACATTTCGAGGGACCATTACATTTCAAGGTAAGGAAAATCTTCGTTTTACGGTACATTAGAAAAACTGAAAGATTTTTGACATTCTCATACATTCTTCGACGTGTATCGTGACGAATGAAATTTATATAAAATTTATAACAAAAAGAAAGATCGATCGGGAAGTTCGTGTTTGATCCTCGACTTTGGATAAGGGATAAAAATATCCAACGTCGAGTGTAAACTGTCATGATCTACAACAAGAAAGAGATTACAGAAAAACGAGTTGGGGCAGGTCGAGGTTGGGTTTGAGTTCGATGATACCGCCGGACGAGGGAGTGACGCTTAGAAGGGATTTGACCGGTGCTACGAGAATTTCACCGAGTACCATCGACCGAATATTCGACAACAGTAACAGACGACAGTATGGCATGGGTATCGTTGGAAGATTTTTAGGGTAAGTTTCCAAATATCCGTTGTCCTATAAATTTAACACCTTGGAAACAAATATACGTGTATTTGGTAAAACACACGAGTTTTGTTTGTATTATTAAATAATTATTTTAATTCCCGTACGAAAATACAACAGGATGATATGAAAATTAATCAAATGTAACGAAACTCCTCTTCGCATTTGCAAACGTAGCATGAAATTACTTGAAGCAAAATAAATTTACAAGCTTTTTATTAAACGATTGTTTCGTTATCCGTGCAAAAATGCCGATGGCTGAAAACTGATAAAACACTGCTTTTATAAGATCAGTGATTAATAAATAAAAGTTCTATTTTTACAATTCCTTATTGTTCGGAACAAAATTACTATCTCCATTTATCCTTTAAAATATAGGAGAGACTCAATCTGAATTCTGTTTAGGAGAATAGAAAAATACAAAACTTGTTTTTAATGCAAAGATAAATTGGAATGTGGACACAATAACTAGACGACCTAAATTTTCAGAGATTAAACAACACTGCTCTCTAGTGTTTATAAGCCACTATTTATAGAAAAATATTCATCCTTGTTGCGTATTATCGACTAAAGAGCAACCGGTCAGGTCAAACCGATCGGTCGATATCGCGTACCTCGAATGACTTAACGTTCAAGGTGGAGGAGATGAAATAACTCGAGTGTTTATTTGTATTAGTTGTAGCACTTAACCGAACTAAGTTGGGACTTTGTCGTCCTGGGTCTGTAGTCTTCGTTGCTTGTAGTTCAACTAAGTTGGGACTCTGTCATTCTGGGTGTGTAGTCTTCGTTGCTTGTAGTTGAACTAAGTTGGGACTCTGTCGTCCTATGTCTGTACTGTCCGATGGTTGAAGCTGAACTCCGTTTCCCAGTGCCCTTCCGGCTGGTCCTTACCTAGGTTTTACCCGGCCTCGAGTCATTACGTTTGCTGCCCTGGGAGGACCGGTAATTCAGAATTTCCTAATGAGGGAAATGGGCCTGTCCGTGCCACAAACGAACGGCCAACTAAAATTCCGAACAATCCTACTTCATGATATATCAATATACGCTACTAATTTTGAAATAAAATAAAATTCAAATAAAACACCGGAATAAGACTAGAAAAAATCCAAAATTTAGATGAAATACACAGAAAGCGTGCATTTGATAACACTTTGTTTCAAATTGATATTTCATTCCATTCCTAAGATATGAGACTTCACGACTTGCAACATTTAGACTTTAACGTATATAGGTGCGAAGGTTATGTATGAATGGGGCTAGTGTCGCCGTGACCTACACTTTTTACTGGAAATGCGTAGTAATAGTAAGAAGACGATGAGTCAGCGTCTGTCACTGACCACCGCAAGTGTTGCGAGCTTGCAGCAGGTTAACGCGTACGCGCGTAGAAGAGTTCCGAGTGTGCAAGTGAGGCGATTGAGTAAAAAAATTACGATCGTCTTTGTACGACGATATCTCAGCAAGGACAAGTCCGATCCTAATGACACAAGAAGTACTTTCAAAGGGAAGATTCGCCCTCTTTAACGACTTCAAATTGATTAAATAGATATCATTAATTTCGTAATAATAATAAAATAAACTTGTGGTAATTTTAGTACAACCTTTATGTATGGTTAAGGAGGAAATTTGATTAATGCGGAGGTATTGATTATAATAATTAATTAAATGTATGTGTAATTTGTTAGATCCGTGATTTTATTAAAACAACGCAGTACTGTTAATAATTTATAATTAATAAATAATTATAACTTTGCTGGACAAGCTTTGTCGATTTTTAAATTAAAATTTACACAAAGAAACATGTCTATTGGAAATATTTTGTAGCTTGTAAATAATACGTCGTATAATTACTCGGCAAATGTTTCGTTGAACATTAAACCTGCGTAAACTTATGAAAATATTTCATCATACAGATTACGTACCGATATTTCCTCGTTAAATTTGATAATTTGGTGTGTGGTAGTGTTTTATTGTATTTATTCGCAATATGGACGGCGTATTAACATCACTCAGCTAAAAATAGAGTTAGCAAAAAATACAATGAATAGTAAACCACGCGTTTCGTATTAGTTTGCTGTTTTGTGTCTACATGTTTATCAGATATCGGCCTGCCGTTGTATGTTGATGCGGTTGTTATTCCACATCGACGAAGAGATTGATTTCGAAACGGTCAATAAATGAATTTCCATACGAATAACTTCATTGGCCGATATTTTCGACAAACCTGATAAAAATTCACGTCCGATGACAATTTATTACGACTATAACGTCGAATGCGGAAACAAAAGGAATCGAATGAGATGCAGAAAGTAAACTAAAATTAAACAGAATATAAATTAGGAAAATTTAATTGCTATATATATGTCGGACAGACGTTGTGGATAGGGTTGTGGGTGTTTGATGAATCTTCATTGAAATTAGCCATCGTTGCGATATAACAAAGGTACGGTTTATTAACACAAGTATACCACAGATTTGACAACCAATCACGGCGATTAGGCGCTCGCGACACTAGTAACAATGGCCTTAGGTTCGATAACGAATCCGTGATCAACGGGATGATAGATGTATGTGCTCACAAATTCTAAGTCTGACTCTTTGTTAATAAAATGCGTAATATTCTCTGATCGTACGGCGTTACTCTTTTCGTCGATGAGATCGCAAGAGAAAATGAGTTTCCGTCCTCCGGTGTTCTTTCATCTCCGACACGGCCATCCTGACTATCACACGTCCTCGTGTGTAACCAGATGACTTAAACTACCAGCTGGAGACTCCACCACGCAGGAGTAGACTCGACGTTCGTTAGGGGCCGGGTTTTCTGTTCTGTCGTAGCGGACAATCAGGTGCGATGTGGCCCTCCGCATGACACTTGAAGCAAACCACCTGGGACGATGTGGCTAGTCGGCTTCCTTCCTGGCGTTGTGTATTCTTCCGCTGTTCGCTACGCATCCTACTGCGGCACTCCTTTATTTTATGTCCGTCGTTACCGCAGTAAAGGCATCTCGGCTGGTGGGCCGATAGGTTGCGTCGTTTGACTTCAGGTTCCGCCGATGGATTATTTGACGAAGGCCTCTTCCTCGCGTGAGAGAGAATTCGCATTTCCTTAAGGAATTGATCCCGGGTCCGAATATCTTCCGTGAGTGCTATACTTTCAACACGCTGGTCATGCAAAATCAGTCGTAGAAGGACGGCGGCGTTGATTATTTCGATGCTGGTCAGATTTTCCCATTTCGCCGACAGAAGGGAGTGAAGACGATTACCAAACGCCCCCATGGTTTCGTCCTTCAGTGGTGGTTCGTTGAGCATCCTAATTAGCGCTGAGGTTGCCGTCTCCGTGCCACCATAACGCAAGAGAAAATGTTCCGTAAATTTTGTCCAAGTAAGACCACTGACAGGTGTTTTCCCATAAACAAAATTATCTACTAGCCGCGTTGGTAGGAGGCTTTCTCCTCCTATCTTCATTTATTAACATGACCTATAACCAATTGGCATCGTGGATCGTTATCCTCACTTTTCCTAACGGAAGGTGCGAACAGCGAATCCGCGTTGTTAATTAAAAACGGCATACCCACACCGAGCTTTCCTCCGTAATGAGACGAGAACACCTAGGGAGAAATAGACAAAACCATCGAACAGTGAACATCTCTTCGATCTGTGTAAACCTGTGCCGCGCTAGAAAATAAAGACAATAGTTGTGTTACGACTCAGCTATTTTTATTTCATCAATCAACCTTTAAGTTTACGTGACACTATCGCCGCTATTACGTGTAGCCTCTTGTAATACCCACATTTGTACCGGTAAAACATCGGCTATATCTGCGATGGTAAATTTGAGTAAAGGTTTATCGAACGCCCCCCAAAATTCAAACCTGACTCCGACATGTATATATAAGAATATTTTTTAAAATATAAAATACAGGAAAAAAACTTTGTTCTACGTGTTATTTTTAATTAACTTTTCAAATATTGCACAATTTGCGTTTCAAAATTTCCTGCGTTTTCGAACTGTGAAAAACACGTCTACCAAATGGAGTAACTAGTAGGGGAAGATTAAAATTTCTACATATATTGTCTATATTCAAAATTTTGTCATATATTGTCTATGTTCAAAATTGTCAAAATTTTCAATTTTAGAAATATCTGCCGACTGAAATAATCCAGAGATTTTTTAGTTATTTCCAATAAACATCAAAATTACGACTTTTCGGTTCTTAAAAATGTTTCAGAGGAATAAAAGAAACGAAGGAGAGGAAAGACAGCAGAAACTGGAAATGCAGAATGGAAATTTGTCTTTCCTACGTTTATTTTATTCCGTAAGTTAGCATTGCCCCGTAGATGAGATGATAACCCAGCTTTATTGAAACAACTTTCTCAGCGGCTCTCCTTCATTCCGCTTTAACGATCGCGCGAAGGTTTTATCATGTAGGTACGACCCAGTTTAAGATATACGCGGAACACAAATAACAAACGCGCATAAGCGGCAAACGTCAGAAATGAGAGGGAAAAAAGCGTGACGCAAAGCGTCTTGCCAGGACGGCGTGATATTTAAAAAATGCCAAGAGGGATATAGTTATCGATCATACGATACAACCTTTGCGGCTACGAAACCTCTTTCTTTCTCCATTTTCCATGAGGTGTTCATTATTTATTGATAGCAGCACACATGCAAATATATGCAAATGTAGAAGCGGTTTTACGATATAATACGAATGAAACTATATACTGAATGAAAACTATTTGATAACGTATAACATACGCAGTGAGCATGTTAAAAGGAAATAATAATAATTTAAGTATATAAATTCTTACTGATAATGTTAAGCTTTGAAATTATTTGCATTTAGAGTGGAAAGTGAGAAGAATAGAAGAGTATAAAAGAAAGATATGAAAAATATTGTTTTATGCTTGCAGGAGATCTTTTCGAAAGAGCGTGTCTCAGAAACCAGACGTCAGAAGGCAGCTGGACGATTTCGAAGACCATCGTCCGTATTTTACGTATTGGATTACCACCGTTCAAGTTCTTATTTTGATAATCTCGTTAGCGTGTTACGGTTTTGGACCTGTGGGCATGGATCTTAGTCACAGATCGGGCTTGGTGAGTCCAAGACTTCCAATTATCAATTTTCTTACGAACTTCAATCTTTTCCAATCCTTAGTCATCCATTAGATCTATTTTTCTTATAATATTCTCAACAAAATCACATTGTATAGTTCATAGAAAAGATAATCAGAAAATTCAAACTCCTCGCAGTTACTATAAATTACTCTAAAAATTCCTATCCTATGCTATTGTAATTACTGAGAAAATTCCTACAGTCACAGAAAGTAAAGCAATTCGGCGTAGAAAGAATATCGTGAAAATTGTGCGGTAGGTTCTGGTGACCAGTCTGTCGTTGCAACAAGTGGACTACCAGGAACCAGCGAATTTCTGGTTTGGTCCGAGGGCCGCGGATTTGATTCATCTGGGCGCGAAGTTTGCACCGTGTATGCGTCGCGATATTAAAATTTTGAAGGAGATCGACGTCTGGCGGGAAAGAGAACGGGACACCGCATGCTGCATCAGAAACGACGACTCTGGCTGCGTGCAATCCAGCAAAGCGGATTGCTCTGTGAGTTGTTATTTCGTTTCCAGCTGAAAAATATTAAATATAAAGGAAATTAGATATTCCTTTGCAGAATATCCCCTCGTATCATGTTTATAATATAATTTCCTCTTTTACGAACCAACTGGTCCGAGGATTGAGATCGACTGCCACGGTAAATTTCTGTGGAATTTCTATCTTGTTGTCGATTATTTATATTTTATATGTTACATGAATTACGAACACATCGGTAGTTCTTGCTTCTAGAAATTTATATTGGAATTAGTTTTGCATGCGTGTATATAGAAGAATCCTTAATTACTTATATTTGAACAATTTTTTATACTGTATTTTATACGTTGCCTACATTTCTTGTAAAACTGTTAATTTCCAGAACCTGATATTCCAATTAATTTTGCACGCTATAGAAATCCTGAAGTACTTTTAATTTTAATTATTTGCATCATTTATCGATTGTATCTTTTGAAGGTAGATTGATTAAAGTGTTTAATGGTGCTTTCAAAAACTATAGAACACGATATCCACATGGAAAAAATGGGGACCTGGGGACAGTGGACCGGGAGGACGCATAAGCGGATCGGTTTGCGGGTTGGATCCAAAGTTCTGCGACGCTCCAGCTAGTATAGCACCTTACGAATGGCCTGATGACATCACCAAGTGGCCTATCTGTCGAAAAACTAATCCGTTTAATCAACGGTTTAGGTAAATTCGTCATCTAAAAATCCAATCTCTTCTATATTAGTTATGTAGCATTTATCCATGTATCTAGCAATGACGAAAACTTTAAAATTCTATCATGTTACCAAAAATCTTCAAGCACCAAAGGTGATAAAACGTCAAAGATATTTTCCTGAATTTTCCAATATTTTTCCTGAATAATATCGAGGAACCCGTTTTGTCTTGCTCAACAGTAGAAACGGGAGTCAACGGAGCAATGGAAATTTCCCAGTAAGCCGATACAAGGACAAGATGGCAGAGCATATGGTTTGTGAGGTGATCGGTCATCCCTGTTGCATCGGTATCCACGGGATGTGTCGCATCACCACTAAGGAATATTGTGATTTCGTACATGGCTACTTCCACGAGGAGGCGTCGCTCTGTTCCCAGGTCGAGTGTTTGCACGATGTCTGCGGTATGATACCATTTCTTCATCCCGAGTGGCCAGATCAGTTCTATAGACTCTTCACCACCATGTTTCTTCACGCTGGGTACGTTTCTGAACAGAATTTATTTCGAAATAATTACGCAGAATATTTTTTCAGTAGAGAATTATATTAAATTATCATGTGGTATTATGTTTGACTTATAGAGTTCTTCATCTGTCGATCACGCTAATGGTTCAGTATTTCTTGATGCGGGACTTGGAGAAGTTAACTGGCTCGCTGCGTATCGCTTTGATTTATTTTATTGGCGCATTAGCTGGAAACTTGGCCAGTGCGATATTCGTTCCTTACAGAGCAGAGGTACGCATATTTTAATTTCTCGAAGAAATGTCGAGACGAAACAAACGTACCCTGGGTTACGATCATATAGCCCAGAAAAATAGGTGAGATTACTGTCACGCGAGTGTATATGTTCTTTAAGGGGTTTCGAAATATTCAAAGAGCACATAAAGATGAGAGCAATAAATAAGACTAATTGGATGCTCCCTTACAAATTCTTTAATGCAGACATTGTAGATATTGTTGGAACAAAGATAATATTTAACACCACAACATATCTAATTGTCCTTAAAATATAGAAAGACTACACGTCGAAGAGGAATACCACAAAAATTAAATTATTTCTTAACCCACACACACAAACGTTTTAATACAAGTCAAATTTTTATTAAAGAGGAAATTAAAACTTATGCTTTTATTTAGAAAATCAACAGACCAAGACACAACGCCACACAATTGCGTTTCAACGCAACACAACTTAACCATATCTTCACGAATAAGAACAGAAAGAACTTTCTTCTTTCTGCAGAAATTGCCAGGCAAGCGAGAGGCTAATTATCGAGCTGCGATGGTTTTATTAGATGCCACGTAGCAGTTTTAATTGAATAACCTCACGGGACGTTTAACAGGCGCATTTCATTGTGTATCGTCGATTTAATCGACGCTTTGGCCCCGTTCGGGCGAAGTAATTGCTCAGAGACCAGGTTTGCACCGTGACTCATACCCATGAAAAGGGTTAACAGCATTACGATCGTTTCCTTTACGGTGTTTCTCACCCTCGGCCGTCTTATCGCTCGACAGTTTACCCCCTTAACACGTCGGTGAACTTGGAGTTATACGTCAATTCTATTCCCTCTAGTCTCTCTATTCCGACTGTTTTCCTCTATCAGAGAGCGTACACTCGTGAATTAAGGCAGCCACCAGTTCTCAGAGAAGACGGGAGAATAAAGGGGCGGACAGAAAGCACCGTTCCTCGAGAACTAATACCGTCCAATTTGTTCTAATTAGTTTGGTTAAACGTACCTTCCGCCCTGGGAAACTTTGTCTCTATCTCTCTATTTCTCTCTCCCTCTCTTTCTCTCTTTCTCTCTCTCTCTCTCTCTCTCTTTCACCCTTTCTCTTTACGCGGCATAGTGTTAATTATTGTTTCAGCCTGACTGCTTGGAGAAAGCTGGTCGAGTACGTTAACGCGATTTCTCCTGCGTGGGTTATCGATAATTCGTATCGTTCAGCGATAGTTTGTTGCAAGAGGTTTCTGTGTAATAGAAATGGTGTAGAGTGGAAGGATATTATTTTCTGTAAATGGAAATTTATGTACGATTCTTTTCGACTGATATTGCGTACTTTGAATGGATACGAATGGAATTGCGGAAACACGGCGATACGATTGGAAATGAGTCCTACAATGGAACGTTCCATACGAGTATTCCAAATTAATAAGCGTTTAAAAGAATTGACCATAATAAAGGAAGATTTCATACCAATATTTCCAATTAGTAAACACGCTGAATAGTCGACTTTTTGAAAGAGAAACACAAAATTAACATCGAAATAGCGATCCATTGTCACAAGCAAAATAACGACCAACTTCCCATATAACTAATGTGAATACTTCGAAATATCAACGATGGCCTAGCAAATTAATTAGGAGAGAAATCCAAAAATTAGCATGTAAATACAGATACAAATCATCCCATAAACAACGCGAGTATTTCAAAAAATTAACGATCGCCTAGGGAACTAAATTAAAATAGAAATTAGCATTGAAGTAAATCAAGTATTTCGCTTCAAACGCGATTTAAAACCATTCAACTCTCATTATTTACAGGTGGGGCCAGCAGGGGCGCACTTCGCCCTTCTCGCCACGTTGATCGTCGAGGTGCTGCACTGTTGGCCGATGCTAAAGCATCCTCGCCGAGTCCTGTCGAAGCTGATCTTCGTTCTTCTAGGCCTGCTAATCCTCGGCATGCTTCCATGGGTGGACAACTACGCTCATCTGTTCGGTTTCATCTTCGGTTTCCTGGCGGCATACGCGCTGATGCCTTTCATCTCGTTCGGCCACTACGACCGTCGCCGCAAGATTTGGCTAATTTGGATCTGCCTGATCCTCATCGTCGTCCTGTTTACCCTTCTTCTAGCCCTGTTCTATAACGTGCCAGTGTACGAGTGCGAGGTGTGCAAGCTGTTCAACTGCATCCCGTTCACACGTGACTTTTGCGCCTCGCAGAACATCAACTTTAAACGGGAGGAACCCGTATGACACACGGGGCCGTGTTTCGAAGTCGAGTTCGAACCATCATTCCACGTAATCCGGAATCAAACGACGATGCCCTTCGCTCGTTTGATCATGCTGGCTCTAGTGTGGAGTTCAAACCGGTGCAGAAACGATCATCACGATTGAAGAAGTACACGAGACCACGAGATCAGCACGAGACTTGGATGACTTGATGTGTGTTACTGTATCAAGGAATCCAGAGATACTCATCCCAGACGAACGACACTGCCTTAAAGTAAAATAACTCCACCTGGGATCCTCGAGGTCTCTTTTAGCCAATGGACCCTGTACGCTCCTTGGTGGGATGTAAATATTAGAGAAGAGAGAAAAAAAAAAAAAAATAAAACAACGCGCCTTTAACGTAACGCGACCATCGTTCTCGACGATCGTGCTTCGAGGGTGGATGCATTGATCCCAAGCGAAGATGAAAGTGAAACGTTCGTGATAGAACGAGATAGAATATTTGTGGACGATTTGCAAGAGTGTTTTACGACGAAACGACGACGAGATCGTTGGAGAGCGGGAAGTCTTCTCACCCTCTCTTCGAACGTTTAACAAAGAAAGAAAGGAAATGAACACGTGTACATAGAACGAAGACTCTTGTTACATATACATATACATACAAGTGTAAGAACGACCTTAATAAATTTAATTTTAGAGAAAGAAAAAGAGGGATAGAGATGAAGGGGGCAAGGGAACGTTGAAAGTGTAGCAGCCCGTACCTCTGACGTTGGAACTATATCTGTGATGGGCGAACACGATTGTCTTTGAGAATATTTTTCATAATACGTCAAGCGGTGCAACATCTTGGAAGGAGATCTTACGCTGGTTACGAACGTGAATCGAATGAACTTAACTCTCTGAAAGGTCAGGCTGGTGAAGGTGGTACAATTAATAATGAAAACGGATTGGAGCGACGTTCGAGAAGAAAGTGTTAACGATAAGTATATATCCGGTGAAGATTTTAATCTTCAAAAAAAGAAAAGGGGGAGAAAAGAGTAAAAACGAATCAATTTTTTATAAATGGCGTGCGAGAGCGGGAGAAAGTGAGCAAGGGAGCGCTTATCAGTGAACACTTAATCAATTTCCACCTTGTACATAATTATAGATGCGAGAAGAGTCGGCTGGAGATAGAAACGAGGTAGGGGTTGAGGAATGAAGGAGAGAAGGATGGACGAGATATGCAGAAGAGCGATTAAATTGCGCTAAGGTAAAACAAGCAGAGAGAAAGAAAGAGAGATAGCGGGAGAAAAAGAGAGAATAAAGATGAAACAAAGCAGCACTGTGACATTCGCGAATGTGTATTTTATTATAACGGGTATGTAAATGTAAGAAACGAAGAAAGATTGTCTGAGAGAAGTGGAAGAATGAATCTGTTCTTGTCTGCGTCTTGTCGCGTGTAAACGATGATTGAGTATGTACACACGAGGAAAAAATAGCAATAGCGAACGTGATGTGCCACAACGTGGAGATCGTCGCAAAAATAAATGTGAAAGTGATTCGAGGTAGAGAAGATAAAAAGAGGAGTAAGAGGAAAAGAAACGCGTTTCTTCTATAATGTCGTGTCGCGCGTTCAACCATTCGTGATCTCTCATTCATTCTAACGTAGCATGCTCGACGAGGAAGTCGATTAGGTTTCGTCGACGCAGCTACGTCGATCGGTTTCACGGGAATCATAGAAACATGCCGTAGAAGGAAAGTGTGCTTTCTGCTTCGTATTTGCACATGTGTTCAGAGGAAGTTGAATTTGACAATTTCAAATGTCGAGGTTTTGAAACACAGCTATATCTCCTATTATTTCTTCGTCTTCAGAACTTAATCTGAAATTATCGTTTGTACGTTATAAAATTGACAGAAATTACTTCATTTGATGATAAATGTGATATTGCTTTTTTTCATAATACATATCAAAAAGTCTCATTGATTCATTTTTTTATATACACTCAGTGAATATACAATCAGTCAATTAGTTTTGGATTAAGAATAATCGTCACGAAACCTTGAAGCACTTATTTCTATTTATTAAAGAAAGTAGAGTACAATATCGTTTAAATATTTTAACGAAACAGAGGAGTGAATCAGAAGCATCGTTTCCTTCTCTCAACAACAATTCCTTCGTACAATTTTTAAGAACGTAACAAGTTATACCATGTTGATTATGGATTCTTAGCGTTCCTTTTTTCGAATTTCGCAAAGGCATGGTTTTCTATCCTCGTATGTGTTGAGCATGCCACGAGAAAACCAGTGATCCGTACACGATAGCTGTAATCGTCGGAATGAGTAAATATATTCGTAATCGCTCGTGAATAAGTGTAATGTTAATTGGAGTAACGCGAACATTATCCCAAGATATAAAACGCACTTTTTTAAAGGAAAAAGAATGAGAAAAACGAAAAAAAAAAATAAGAAAAAAAGAAACGAACGCGACTCTACGATGATATATTAAACAGCATGTAACGATTTAATTATTCTTCATATAACCGACAAACGATTTTTATACATTTCCCTGCGTATAATGTATCGCTAGCGCTTGAAGAGTCTCAAAATTTATAGCGAAAATAAACATTTTCTTTAATTTTTTATCGGCAATGCTTAGGGAGAGATGAAGGGGAATCAACGTTAGTTTAAAGACACTTTACCTTCTGGCTTGGATATACTCGGATAAAAGGTATAAACATAAAGGAACCCTTAAGCAAGAAGAATGTTTGAAAGTACAATAAAAGCCGCAGTATCGGTGATTCATTTTTACTTTAATTTACTCAATTTCTTTGAATATAATAAAGTCAGAGTGCAACCTCCTCTGTGAATTATGGCAAATGCGACAATTACGATAATCGAAAACCATGCTCGATGAAGAGGAAAGGGAAGTTTATTCGTCGTGATATCTCGACCAAATCTCGACGTATTATCAATTGAAAATTTCGCGTATACCTTCATGCTTCCTTGTCGACTGTTTTTTACCGTTTGCCCGACCAGGCTACGCACAAGTTTCCGCCACACAAAGCCACATTAACGACCGGTCGACACGAATTCACCTGTTTCTATGTGAAGGAATCAACATTATAAAACGATTAAGCGAGAATTAATGAAAGGCCAGCCCGCTTGTTCTCGCGGCGGTGGTAAGAACACTGGTTTTTCTCTTTCGTAAAAATTATCGTTATCTTGAAACGAGCTCTTGAAGCTCGATTACGTTCGGCAAGAAATATCCGAAAGTCGATCAACCGAACTTGTCCCTAACGCGTGTAATACGTTCAGTTTTATTAGAGATTCTTTTCGGAATATCTGAGTTTGAGTGGCCGTAGCGAGTGGCCACACATGAGGTAATTAGTTGGAGGAATTTTTTCAGCTTGTAGAAATTTCTTTTTACCAGGAATTCTTTTTTAATTCACTTTCAAAGAGAATACCTTTCTGCAGAAAATTCTTTGTTCTCAGAGGAGTACCTTTTTTAAGAGAAATTCTCTTTTCAAGCGATCGCCTTTTTAGGATGAATTCCGTTTTAAAGGAATACCCTTGGCATAGGGAATCCTTTTTAAAGAAATTTTTACGAAGAATCTGTGAAATACGAAAAATATCGAGGTACATGAAATCGAAAGAATGCAACAAAATTTGAATGGAATCCGCTTAAATCGTAATATACAAGTATAAATTATTTCTTGCCAAATTTTTACGAGAGGGAGATTTTTAACTGCCTGCAAATATAATAAAAAATAATACAAATTTCTACGAGTAACGATGGGGATAGAGACAATTTATTCGACCACGCACACGATATTTGTAATTTGCATCGATCACGCGTGAATCGCATCCAACGAGACAGTTGTCCGCATACGCATCAATGACACGTACACGCATGTTACCACGTGCAAGAAGCTCTAATCATTTTCTACTCCGCCGTTAATTTCCCATAGACAAACGCAAAATGAAACTTTGCTAACCGAACCGTGCACTGAATTGATTTTTCTCCTCGTACCGAGGGAAGGTTGGAAAATCGTGTCCAGGCTTTCGTGTAGATTCATTTCATCTGCGTAACGAACATACGCCGGTAAATGTAAAATAAAATCATTAGAACAGGACGAATCATTAAAACGAATTAGATTGAAATATCTCATTTCCAATGAACGCAGGCAATTAAACGATTCAAATTACGCAACAGCGAGTCCTGGCTCGGAATTTTAACCTTCCCGATTCGTACACTAAACACGCATTAACAAATTACACTGAGTCGAAACGATACATTGACGTTGTGTTGTGTGAGAGGAAAGAAAAATGATACGTCGTTCTATGGTGGAAAATATTACTGTATTCCTTGGTTTTCGTGCGGTGACATTTATATCGCATGGCATGTCTTCTCTCTTTGGAAGAAGCACAATATCAATTTTTTTAATCAATAGGAAATCACAGCGAAGATTTCAATGCACGTTTCCAATATTCCATTCCTCCAAGGAAGATGATACAATTTTCTAAAGCCGAGGACTCAAATTTTTAACTCATCAGTTTCTAGATTCTAAGCTCAAGTAAAAAGCTGTAATAATTGTAAACGTCGTATAAATCATACGTAATTACGGAAATAATCAAAGCAAAGAACGATGCATTTCAACTTTATTTAAACTTCCACTAAAGGAAGAGAGACCGCTTGAAGCTCAGCACGTTCGTCGTTATATTTTAACAAATTAAATTCGGATGGAATACAGCGATAATTTCATCAGTGTATCGTTTTATTTTCCCATGTGCAACGCGAAATAAGTTAAAGTCGATCTGCATCGCGCGAGACCATTGTCACGAACGAAACAGCCATTAATCGGATCGCAACGAATCGTAATTGTTACTCGACGAGAGCAAGAGAATTTGATTGACGATTTCGTGAGAGAATTATAAACAGCAAGGATGCAAAAAGCGTGATAATTCGGATGTTTGATGACGCATTCGAGAAACTTTGTGATAAACGATCGAGCAAAAGGCGAGAAAAAGACGAAAGGGATGGAAAGGTGGGGACGATGATGAATGAAATGATGGAGGGGGTCCAGGACCTTTGAACACTCAGAAATACATACACGGAAAATACATACACATAGACACTACCGATACATACACACGCACTGAACTTTTTCGGATTATATAAATATATAAATATATAAATATGAGTATATGAATATAACACGTATACATAAAGAAGAAAAAAAAAGTACGAATTAAGGACCGAGGTGGACCGAGGTGGCGATTGTCGACGAGTAACATATTGTTATTATTGTAAATGTGTCATATACAGGTAATAGCATGTCATACAAAAGAGAGAATGTGTGAGTGGGTGAATGAGAGTGAGGGAGGGAAAGAAGTACATGAAGCAGTGAAATTGAGACGGGGGGAAAGAAAATCGAGTGAAAGAAATCTGAGAAATACCTTCGATATTTCCATATCGATCACGGCGAGGTGGAATATCGTCTTTCGCCTGTGGGGACGATCGGAGTCGACTGTGTTACGTTTCCCTATCTTACGGAGAGAAATAAAACGTTACGAGAGCGATGGATGAAGCAAAGAACGGTGGCATAAAAATAATGAAGTAATCTTTTCGATCATCGTGCAATTTATTAAACGACTTTTAATTGCTTATGAAAAATGAAGCTGTATATAACAGTAAGGAAAAATACGATACCTGCATTTCGCTAGAATTGCGATGATTTAAAAAATAATAGTTCCACTGTCTCTGACAATTCTTCTATCCTCAGGCGATGAAACGGTACTTTCTCAGACTACGAGATGTTCAGCTTCTTTTCAAAATTTCACTAAATACAAGTTCTTTGCCAGAGCAATTCGATTAATAAAAATCAAGACTCTCGTAGCCCGAACCTATCTGTCTCCGTAGGCGTGGCATCGTCTCAAAAAGTGCTTGACAACGTTTAATTCGACGAAGAACCATCCGACGTAGAGATTGTATTCGTTTGAGCTACTTCGACTAATATGTCCCTCGATGAAAAACAAAAAAAAAATATAAATAATAATAACATTAATAAAAAGAAAGATGGACAAAAAGATACGCGAGTTTCCCGATCTACTTGTCGACGTGTGAAAACGATTTATATACACGGAGGTCCTCTCGACGATTCGCTCTCGATCCGCCATGAAGAGAATTAATTTATGCATACAAACCAAATAAAGTAAAATAAATGAAAAAAAACGGGGAGAAAGAGGGGGAGAGAAAGAGAGTAAGAGAGTAACGTGGTAAGGCACGCACCAAAGAGAAATAAAAGAGAAAAAAAAAGAGTAATAATGTCTTGTAAATAAAACGTATGCGTCGAAAATGGACCAAGGACCTAAATAGTGCAGCTCGTGTAAAATTGATATCCCGATCTCGCTAATCACGTAGACGAGCTCGGCTGGTAGGATCGTTAAGTAAAGCTACAATTTATCCTAACGTTGTTTAAAAAGCGATGTGGAAAGCATCGCGACATTACGGTCTGGAATTTCCTGTGCATCGATCCTGTCGCGGATATTTCGTGTTTCTTACTCCTTGGAAAGAACAGATAATTTCGTGCAAACTTGATCTTCGTTCGGTTAACAAGGCAAAAGATTTGAGTTTCGATAAATTGCAAACTTCATTGTGTGTATGTGCGTGGTGTGTACTGTGTGCGCGCGTGTGTCGTTTAGAATTTTGATATATAATTATAAGCAGTATCATTGTAAATTGTACATTGTAAATTCCATCGTCTTTTAAAGTTCTAATTCGATTATTATAGATTTGTTATCTTGTGGATTTATATTGCTGTCTAGGAATTTTCAGCTTTTTTAACTTTCCTATTCTCGGCATAAAAGGTCTGTGTATCGTTAAAAATATCGCAAGGAAAGTTAGGAGGATGCAAAGGTTTGTTAAAAGGTTTTTACGATACTTCAGATATTCAAATGAAATTCTCACAATAGCTAGCTCGTTGCCTCAATATTAGAAATATATATTTCCAAACGATAGATACATTTCGATACGAAAGCTTCGATATGTTGTTGTATCTTTCGTCAAAGTGGCAATAGTAGAAATATGTAATGGAATAATTGAAGTCCTCCCTGATTTGTCGATCGATGAAATTACAAAATTATAAAACTCTATGAATATTTCAGAACGAATCCGAAGAAAAACGATATCCTGCAATGAAAATTAGATTTAATTAATTTCTCAAACGGAAGATAATGTTTTAAATGTTCAACCATTCTCGTGACGAATACGAAGATATTTTACAGCAAAGAGGGAGGACACTTTTCACGAAGAAAAAGAATATTTAGATATTTTATCCAAATGGAAAATCGTTTGTTCGCGATTGGATCGTTGCACGCTAGATCCTGGATCGTGACTGAAAACTCGATACCGGAGACAGAGCGAATCCGTGCGAGAGCAAATTTATTCTAATGACAGTCCTCGTTCCCCTTTTATATATATACATAAATATAAATATATATATACATAATATACTTTAAGAAGATTCCACCACAGCCGCGCGGTATTATTTTTCTGTATCCCTGTATCTATAACGAGTGATATAAGCGTTAAAGACAAAAGAAACAAAAGAAAAAAAAAAGAAGATAATGAAACCACGATGGACTAAGGATTACGAGTAATAACGACTGTACTAATTAAACGATTAATTACTTATGAATTACTTCGCCAGGTATTTTTTCGGTTTCATCTAGTAATCGGTAAGGTTTTCGATTACGATTATTATTACTGATCATAAACGATGCATTGTAATTGTCGCTGTTATATACAATACATACATACGTGCGTATATAGACGTATACAATATGTGCACGCGTGCGCACACGCGCGCGTCATTTACACGCCTGTGCACATATGTATATGTGTATAAGTCCTTGAACAACACATTAATTTAATAACAATAAAGAAAAACGTGAAACTCATCTCCTGGATGCGTTTTATGTCTACCTCTTACGTTCTTAACGTTTGAAATACCCATTTGCTATTATGAAGACACGCGTCGGTTTTTTTTTTTTTTTTTAATACTTTTTAATTTACCGTCTTGATGTTCGAAAAGACGCAATAATTGTATATACTTCAATTTATTTTTTATTACCGAGGAGTAAGTGAAAGCGGGACTGTGAAGTACTCATTGGAGGTAAGGAAATATGAGGTTAAGAAAGAAAGAGATCCATGGAGTGAATTGGCGGGATAAGTGGGTTCGTACATCAGAACTTCGCATAGTAAGAGTTTACACAGAGTCTCCTTAGTAGTTACGATTTCTCGTTCATATAATAGTAGTTCGCGTTCCAATAAATGAATTCAATCACCAGAAGTCTATTTAATCGAGTATTAACTAAAATTTCATTTAAATAAACGGTACACTTTCAAACGGGCTAATTACGGACGACGCGGTGTTATAAATTGTAGATGGCGTAATAAAATCGTTGAATAGTCGGTATTGCAGAACATGTAACGCGATGTTCCGTAAGATCCCGTAAGATAATAAGGTTTCTGTCGCTTCCACAATAATTGAGTTGAATGTAATTTCTATATTCACCGTAACAAATAACAGGTGGCATATGAAACGCTGTTTTTTCCGAAATCGGTATCTTAAAACGTAAGACACAAACTGTAGCAAGATTGACGATCGGTACAGTAGATAGGCATAAGCTGAGTACATTTTATCAATGATTTATTACCACTTATTGTTCTAAAAGTACTTAAACATACAGATACATGAAAGTATCACTACTGCTAATTTCGTTCCTTAATTTTATTTCTATTTTATGTGCATTAATACAATGGAAATTTCGGAAATAAAATTTAAGACGATATAAGCATGGTAAACGTTATTTAAGTGTATAATCTTTTATGATAATTTACATTTTCAAGTTCAGATCTAAATTTTCATAGTCAACACAGATATTTTCTAGCTGCATTTATAATTAAAGTACTTACTACGTACGTATACATGGACTAATACCAAGATTTTCGCGTAAAATACAAATGTACGTAATCGCAATATCGTTTCATTTAATCCATCATCGTATTTCTCTCCCCTTGGTTATAATAAATCTTCGTTTATGCTATTCCTCAATATCGTTTCATCTACATCACAACGAGGTGCAATTGCACCTAGTATATTGAAAATATTAATGGAGCAATGCAGAGTATTATATTACAGGAAGATAAGAAAAGAAAAATTAAGATATAGTGTCTTTTTATGCTTTGGAAAACGAGAGACACGACCTTCATTCTACTAAAATGCTTCCGCATAATATATCATTTGACGTCAGCCGTGTATCTGGATATTTTTATTGAAACCTTTTAGTCTTCATTAAAATATATGAACATGATGTTGAAGTTGAAAGATTTTATGCTCTGTCCTTCAAGTTGGTTCAGAGATTATTATCAAATACATTTATTTCCTGTTCGTGCTTTTACTAAATTAGAAAACAAGCGTGAGCACAAACGAGAGATACTTTTTCATGCGTAGGATAATTCAACCACCTTGTTCTTCTTTTGCAAATGGAGCATGCTTGTTGACACGGTTTTAATTACGAGAATCATGTATTAAAGATGAGCGAACGAAAATGCTCAACCATTTTCTCGCCAAGAAAACAACTGCAACGCAGAAGCTAACAAAACGTTCTTCAAGTTAAAATATTTCGTACAAAACAAATATTAAATATTATTTTGAATAGTTAAAAAATATAATATAATTACAAATCACGTCTTACAAATAAAGACAGAAGCGTATGAACAGACGAGAAATATTAAAGAAGATGTAGCTAAGGATGATAATACTTTTGAACCAATTAACTGTGTAATGATTGTGAATAAAATTAAAATATACATAAACGGCACTAGCATTGGGTAATTTATGGAGCGTTGTTCGTCCGTCAAGCTATAGTCATAATTTCACCTACCCCGAAAATGTATAGTTACTTGTTCTTTCTTTTTTTACTCCGAAAGCTCGTAGATCCGGCATGAGAATTTACTTCGTTTTATTCCAGACTCATTTTGTTGTCGGTCAATTTACGAACAAGCCAAATGACAAGCGTGATAATTTGCCTGTTCTTTTCTTTCTTTTTTTTTTTTAATCGTACAATCATCTACAATGCAGACTAGTTTAAATATCGAACAAAGGAGCGTTAATGAATATATGAAAGGCAAAACTGACCTATCTCTACGAAAGGTAACATTCATGTGCACGTGTAACATTTTATTTTTCGACAATGTACTGTAATTTATTAATTTATTGAGTGAAAATATTCATTTGGCCACGTCTTAGATCGATTTGACATTGAAAATTTTGGTCAAAGTTTATTTAAATATGTTCCAATCATTGTTGGATTTATAGCCTTATCGTTAAAAGGTTTCATAATACAGATAAAAAGTAATAGAAAAAAACAGAATGGAAAGTTTGATAATTTTTTAAATCCTTTGCATAAATTAAACATACGAATCTGTTCGTAAGTAGTGATTTAAAAAATAAATATCACTAGCAATATTATTATCTGCAATCTTCGTAAAATATAAAACGACATTATTTATTAGTTTTCTTTTAATAGAACTCTTAAGCGTGTCTTTCAAGTCCACCACAAAATTATGTAACTTTTCCTTAAAATCTTCGAAAAACTCTTCGACTCTTCGCCCAACGAAAATTCCATTAACTTTGGAGCACTTTTACAACCTTTTTCGTCGTTCGACTCGTTCAAATCTTCATCTTGCCACAAAGTATATACATGCATATACATAGGAAGTAGATTAAAAGGACAAAACACCAATGCAGCCAAGGGAAAGCAATATCCTAAAAAATTTGTTCATGCACTTACAAAAACGAAAAGAACCTACAAAATATTTCCTTTTAATAATGAATTCACGAACCCTACCACTTTTCTGATCTTCTTCTCTTCTCCTCATAAATTGCACATATAAGAGAAAGGGGACACAAAAATCAAATTAGACAAATTCAAGAAACAGTAATACTTTAAAAATATTTTCACAATTTTCCAACAAAAAAAAAATATACTTTTTCGAGAATTTTTGACAAGCTCTCAAAAAGATCTATATTTCCCAATAACAAATATATCAACTCTAAACCGATTTTATAATCCTCTTCATCCCTTCACGAATTTCATGTTCCAAAAATAAAAAAAATGAAAAATAAAAATAAATCCTAGATAAAGGGCAATCAATATCTGTAAGAGTTTTATTGCAAAACTATAACCAAGAAAAACGTAACTTTTCTTGAAAATTTTTCTAAAAAGCTTTAAGCCTTTAAGCTTGCAGAAATTATATCAATTGTAGAAAGCCTTCCTATAATCCTTCACAAATTACGTTATTAGTACTTCCTACAATTAACTATTATGCATTTTTATTTTTATATTGCCCTGTTGAATTTTGGCGAGTGCTCTTTTTTCGGCTGAGTTATCATTTCCCCTGCTTTTACTGATTTCCCCTTTTAGTCGCTTTGTACGACACGCAGGGAATACGTTGGGTCTATTCTGCTCCGAACTCACAGGGAGCCAGTTACTACTATTATTATTACTACCATCGTTTTTAATATCGTAACTTTTATACTATATCTATATATAATTACATGTCAATTTCACAAACATCAATCTACACGTCTGCAGAATTTACAGGATTGTGTCAATTCTACAAACGCGTTTCATTCAAACTAAAAGTACCGATGAACTGCACTCGTGTCGAAATGAGTAAAAATTGCAAGTACAACTGTTACATATCCACATGCCGGTCGAGTTCGATATCAGCTTATCGAGTTCTTCTCTTTGAGTTTTCATCGTCATGCACTCGAAAGAGAGCATGACAGTTTGTTCAGTTAGTTACAAGTGTACACTATACACGCTCGTACAAAGTCGTATTTTATTATCGTTGGTTACGATACGCGGATTTGTAAGGATCGAGCGTTCCACTTGACATTTCTATTTTTTCCCTGGTACGAGTTGCGGAGGCGGCGATTGTTTGCTGGGCACGCTTAATGTGGAACATCGTTGCGAAAGTTATACCACTAAAAAAAAATTTTTTCCCGATTTACAATCTGATAGTATGACAAATGAGGTCGATATCCGTTTGTGAAAGTTGAATGGATTTTGTTGAAAAAAGAAACCTTTCATCACGTATATTGCATGTATTTTGTATGAAATTTTTTTACTTTGTTCTTTTATAGAACACAATGCATCTCGCTTGTAACGAAGACAAATGAAACCAGTTCATTGAGTAGAACATTTGGAAGAATCTGTACGCGACACGGTTTATCTTCTACAATTTCGCGAAATTCCAACGTGAGCGACGTGTGTAATTATAGAAGTCAAGTACAAGTTCCAAAGTTTGGGATCAAGCTAATTCGGTAAATTGCGATGTATAATTTATCTCAGGGTATAAACTGCACTTAGGAAGAAGTTTAACCCTTTAAGTTACATAGACGCATGTATATACGGACCTCCATCGCTTTGGCAAAATTCCATCATAGACTATGTACCAATTTGTTACCAAAAAATATACTTCATCTACTGTATGCAATTTCACACAGTATTTAAAACAATTTATTCAACGCGAAACATATTTCGGATTATGAAATTTAAAGTATTCGATATTTCGAGATGGATTTGCAATTTTTATGAAAATTATACAACTGGTTACGATGATACAATTAACTTTTGTAAAATATATGGATAAAATCTTTTTTTCATTTGCCATACATTTCTCACGTGTTTTTCATTTTTACTTATTTCTTACAAGTTCCATCTTCTTTAGTCATTGGCAGTGTTAGTGTTAAAGAAAGGAAAATTCTACTTGAAGTGTCACAAAATTCTTTAGCAGTACAATACAAAGCGAAAGCGCGAAGCTTTCGTGCGTTGCTGTCCCATTTCCGCTGTATTTGATAATTTAGCCCGGTGAATTCGCAGGAACA